CCCGCCATTCCTGCTGCAGCCACAGTGCCCCCTTCCGGCCGGGCGGACCGAGCGCAGGAAAGGGGTTACTGGTGCCCCCCCCTTCGAGCCCCAGAGACCCCCAAAACTCATCACACAGAAACGCCAATGGGAGGGGGGGTCAGAGAGTCCCCTAAAGTCCAGTAATGGGGTTCAGGGGGTCCCCCAACTCCCAGGGGAGGGGTCTTATGGGTGCCGCCCGAAGTCTGGGGGGTAGATGTACCACATTCAGGTAATGGGGGCCCAGCGCCCCCAGTGTAGCCCAGTGACCTGCCACTGCTTCCCAGTATGGCCCAGTGATCCTCCAGTGAGCACCCAGGAACCTCCAGTATGGCCCAGTAACCTCCCAGTGTCCCCCTGTGTGTCCTGGTAATCCCCCACTAATAACCCAGTCCCTCCCAGTGCCCTCCCAGCATCCCTCAATAACCCCCCAGTCCCTCCCAGTACCCCCTGCTTATCCCCATTGTGTCCCAGTATACCCCAGTAAACACCCAGTTCCCCCCAAAGCCTCTCAAGTGTCCCCAACGTGTCCCCAGATGCCCTTAACCTTTCTGTGAACTGTGGGGGGATGGGGCCATTTTGGGGGTCAGAGGGTCCAGGGGGGCCTTCTGAGGGGAGATGGAGGGTTGGGGACATCAGGGATGGGGTTTGGGGACAGTGGGGAGGGGTTTGGGGACAGTAGAATGGGGGGTTTCAAGGGGGGAATTGGGGCCATGGGGAGGTCCTGGGGACATTGAAGACACCAGGGGGGTCTTGGGGTGCCAAGTGGGAAATTGAGGACAGCAGGAGGGTCTTGGGGACACCAGGGGGGTCTCAGGACTCACCTGCTCGTGGTGCTGCTTCTCCTGTTCCTTCAGACCCCAGTAAGGCCCCCAAATGTCCCCTAACCCCCATTTTTCATTTAATCACCTCCCCATCCACAGATCCCTTTTAACCCTGAATGCTCCCAAGACCCCTTTTAACTCCCCCAAATGCACCCAGAGGCCCCCAAAATGCCCCAAATCCCAATCAAACCCCCAACAAAGAGGGATCACCTGGCACCCTGGGACACGAACACACTGGGCTGTGCTGGGGGCACTGGGCTGTACTGGGAGGGCACTGAGGGGAAACTGGGCTGTACTGGGAGAGCCCTAATCCCCAAAGCCCCTCCCCTGGGCATCCGTGCCACGGTCTGGGAACCACGGCGGGGTTGGATCAAGGGGTGCACCTGATGATCTGGGAGGTCTTTTCCAAGCCGGCTGATTCTGGGATTCTCTGGGTGCCATTGCCAGGGCAGCACATGCTGGAGGCTCTGTCCACAGGGGATAGATGTGTCTGTGCAGACAGAGAGACAAGGTCGGTCTGCAAAACTGTGGGGCTAGAAAAGCAGAAGTTGTGGGGTGGTTGTGGGAGGAGAAAGAAGTCCCCAGGCCAGTGCAAGCAGGCCCCCCTGGGCTTGCACATCATCTGCCCTCCCTGCAGGTTGCTGTCCTGGAGAGCAAGCCCTGAGGTGTCCCTGAGCAATGGCCCGGAGGTGAGCCCAGAGGTGGCCCTGAGGTGGCCCTGAGAAGAAGTGGAAGGCAGAGGTGGTGCTGAGGCAGGAGAGCCCCCTGCTGGGGAAGAGGCTGAGCTGGGAGTGCCCAGCAGCGAGAAGGTGCTGTGTCCATGCCCTGTGTGCCAGGTGAGCTGGGGCTTTGCTGCAGAGCTGCGGGCGCTGATTGGAGCGGCTGCAGCTGCTGAGCTGGTGGCCCCCAGGAACACAAAGTGTGCCCGGCCACGGAGCCTGCAGGGAGAAGCAGGGACAGGGTCAGGGCCACTGTCAGCCCGGGGCTGGCTGGGCAGACACAGCAGTTTTGGGGTCCCCCTGGGAGCTGCCGAGGGTGGAGGGTGGAGCGGGCGATGCCGGAGCTGGGGGACCCCCGGCAGGCTGGAGGGGGGAGCACGGAGAGGGAGGAGCCCCGGGACCCCCGGGAGCCTGAAACGGGGGAGCGGAGAAGGGGAAACCTGGAGAGTGGGGACCCCTGGGATCCCTGGGACAACGAGGTGGAGAACCTGGAGAGGGGGAATGTCTGGGAAGGCAGCACCCCAAAGGTGAGAGCCAGAGGTGAAGGGACCCTTGGGACCCCCAACACTCCCAACATCCCTAAGTGGGACCCCCAACATCCCAGAGAGGGGAGACCCTCTGAACCCCGAGGGGAGAGACCAGAGAGGGGGAACTCCTGGGGGAGATTTATTTGAGGCTAATCTTCATAATTTGGAGTATATTTTGCTGAATCTAAACTTTTTACAGTTTGGGGGACAGGATTCTTCTTGCTGTTTCTGAGGGGGTTTTGCCTGAATCTTGGTGGTTTGCGTTTTTCTGTGCTGAATCTTGGTGTTTTGGAGGTTTTTATGGTCCCAGGATGCCTGGTGAGTTCTAGAGATGGACTTGGGCAGGAGGAACCCCCCAAGCCAACGCGCTCAGCCCTTCTTTCCCCCCAGCAGGATTTGTCCTTCCCAAAGTTTGGGCTGATGGAGGAGGAGGCTGCGGAGAAGAGGAAAAGGCCACGGGCCCCCCAGGCAGGTGAGGAGGAAGTCAGTAGCCCTTTGGCCCTGTCTTGTGGTGCATCTGTTGAGCAGCCTCCCAGCAGAGAGAAGCCCTTCAGGTGCTTGGAATGTGGGAAGAACTTCAGACAGAGCTCCACCCTCCTCAACCACCAGCACATCCACACTGGGGAATGGCCCTACACATGTAGGGAATGTGGGAAGAGCTTCAGGAAGAGGTCCATTCTCCTCAGCCACCAGCGCATCCACACTGGGGAACGGCCCTACGTGTGTAGAGAATGTGGGAAGTGCTTCTCCAAGAGCTCCAACCTCCACAGCCACCAGCGCATCCACTCCAAGGAACGGCCCTACACGTGTAGGGAATGTGGGAAGACCTTCAAGCATAAATGTGCCCTGACTCAACACCAGCATTTCCACACTAAGGAACGGCCCTACACATGTGGGGAATGTGGGAAGAAGTTTAAGACCAGCTCAGCTCTCCTCGTCCATGAGCGGATACACACAGGGGAGAGGCCCTTCCGCTGCACCGACTGTGGAAAGGGCTTCTGGAACTTCACCCTCGTCACCCACCGGCGCATCCACACTGGGGAGAGGCCCTACAAGTGTGAGGAGTGTGGGAAGAGCTTCACCCAGAGCTGTGCTTTGACCAGACACCAACAGACCCACCAGTAAGAGAAGCCCTATGAGTGTCCCGACTGTGGGAAGAGCTTAGGCCGCTGCTCCCACCCCGAATGTCCCCCTGATGGTGAGGCAACCCCTGGAGTCCAGTGACTGTCAGTCCATCCCTTTCTACCACAAAGGGTCAGTCCCCATTTGCCAGGGGCAGGTTCTGCCAACAGAACCCTTCTTGGGGGTGTGTGGAGATTCCTGCCTTGGCTGGGACCCCCCAAGGTCACTGCTGGAAGTTGAGAGCAGAGATCTCCCCACGAGCGTTGGTCTGGGGGAGTTCCATCCATCTCTAATTCATAATTCTTGCTTTGATGCCAACTTGAGTAGAATTGCTTCAACAATTGCTTTAGTGTAGAGCACTGTCCTATCTTATGCTGTACTACTGGTAGTTTTAGTGTTTCTATTGTGCAGGAAATAATTCTGATGAAGATGTTTTTCTGATCATTTGTAACCCCAAATAATTCATTTCTATCAATAGATCTGATTTGATTCAGCAGCCCCAGCACCCCACAGTAAGTTGGGAGCTCAGGGGGGCCACCCCCCCCTTTCCCAGCTCCCCTGTGCCCAAAGACCCCCATTGGACTTTCAGACCTGCCAGACCACTCCCCCTTTTCCACCCTTTTCACTGTTCCTTCCACTTTTCCATGGTCCTCTCAATCTGCAGCCCCTCCCAGATCAGTTTTGTGGTCTCAACCCCCACATTTTTCCCTTCTCTCCCACCCCTTCCACATCATCCCCCCACTCCCCAGTGGGGTCCTGGGTGTTGTGTGATTATGTTTGGGGTTCTTGAGGGGCTGTGGGGAGGTTTTGGGGGGGTCCCAACACCTTTTGGGGTGAGCTGGGTGCCTACTGGGGATTTGTGCCTTCCCAAAGCTCCCCCAGAGCGGGGTGACACGGGGGGAACACAGGGGGATCCCCATTCCCAATCCATCCCAGGGCCTGTTCTGCCCCCCAAACTTGGCTCCACCCCTTGGGCTCCTCCAGTTCTCCCCCAGCGTCCCTCAATAACTGGGACTGGGGAGAGCTGGGAAGCTTTGCTGGGATCACTGGGAGCAGCTGGGTGGAGGCAGAGTGAAAGCAGGGGAGGGGGGACACACGACCCCCCAAAATCCTCACGGACACAGGGGGGTCCAGACTGTGCCCGAGGCCCCAGGGAGGGGCTGCGGCCGCCGCTGGCTCAGGAGCTCTGTGGGGAGAGAAAAGGGGGTGACAGCGGGGTGGGGGGACAGGGGGGACACTGGGATACACCCAGAGCTGGACTGGACCCAGCGGGACCAGAACTGGGGCAACTGGGATCATACAGGGAGCACCTGGGCCCCTGCTGGGGTCATACTGGGATCATATGGGGAGTGACTGCAGTAATACTGGGAGTGTGTGGGAGGGACTGCAGCCATACTGGGGATGAGTGGGATCAAACTGGGTTCCTACTGGAAGTGTCTGGAAGTTCCTGGGATCATACTGGGGGTGACCGCGATCCTACTGGGATCAGACTAGGATAATACTGGGAGCAGCTGGTTCTGTGCTAGGGGTAACTGGGAGCTCTTAGGATCCCACTGGGAGGAACTGGGAGCAACTGGGACCATGCTGGGCACAACTGGAACCATCTTGGGAGCAACTGAGTGAAGGTGGTTGGGGTCATACTGGGAGTGACTGGGAGTATTCTGAGGGCAGTTGAAACCATGTTGGCCCAACTGGGATATACTGGGAGCAAGTGGGATCACGCTGGAGGTGACTGGGATCATACTGGGAGTGACTAGGACCTCACTGGGGGTGACTGGGAGTGGCTGTGAGCAACTGGGATAATGCTGAAAGCTACTGGGAGGAACTGGGAGTGAGTGGGACCACACTGGGGGCAACTGGGATATACTGGGAGACACTGAGAGTGACTAGGATCATACTGGGAGAGATTGGGATCATACTGGTAGTGACTGGGAGGAGGCTGAGGTCGACTGGAAGAGACTCGGAGTGACAGGGATCCTACTGGGAGGGACTGGAACTACAGTGGGGTGACTGGGAGCAACTGGGATCATGCAGGGTGTAACTTGGATCCTACTAAGAAAGACTGGGTATCACAGGTGGGGGTTCGTCCCGCGACAGACCCAGCGGCACATCTTGTATGGGAGACAGGACACACGAGTGTGACCCACAAAATGGTGTTTATTAAAACAAGATGACAGTTTATGTACAGGGGGATACAGAAGGTTCGGGAACAGAGGTGAGTTTCTTGCTAGGGAACATCAAATCCTGAAAGTCAGTGATAAGTGAACTTGGAGGGATAGGCTGCATGGAATATGTCACACAGGGGGAAGGGAGAGCTTAGGGAGGAATGGAAGGAGTGGCCTGGGGGCACAGACAGGGGAATCTGCAGAGGCTGCAAGGCTGCGGCCTTGTAGCTGGGTCCCAAGCAGTTCTGCGCAGCTGCAGTTGCTAGGAGACTTTGAGAGAGATCTCATCTTCTGAGCCTTCCTTGTAGCTCTTTTGCATCTCTCTCCACTCTCTGTAGGCCTCTTTTGGTCCACCCCTGACAACTGGGATCATACTGGGACTGACTGGGAGCATGCTGGAGGCAACTGGGATATACTGGGAGTGACTAGGATCATTCTGGGAGTGACTGGAACCATAGTAGGGGTGAAGGGGAGCAACTAGAACCCTGCTGGGGGAAAGTGGGATCATACTGGGAGCAGCTGGGCCCCTACTGGGGTCCTGCCGGGCTCTTACTGGGAGTGACTGCAATAATACTGGGAGTGTGTGGGAGGGACTGCAGCCATACTGGGGATGAGTGGGATCAAACTGGATTCGTACTGGAAGTGTCTGGAAGTTCCTGGTGATCATATTGGGAATGACTGGACTCATACTGGGATCATACTGGGAGGAACTGGGACCATGAAGGGGGCAAATGGCATTGGCCAGGCAGGGACTGGCAGTTGCTGGGGCCATCCTGAACTCAGACTGGGAGTCCCTGATAGGGAAAGGAACCATCCTGGGGGGGCTGGGAGCAACAGGGACCACCTTGGGGGCAACTGGGATCCTATTGGGAGTGACTGGGAGTGACTGGGATCACAGTGGGAGTGACCAGCGCCATACTGGGATCATAGTGGGAGTGACTGTAAGGGACCAGGATCAAACTGGGAGTGACTGGAACTACTCAGGGGGGAACTGGGAGCCAGTGAGGTCATGCTGGAAGCCAACTGGGAACATACCTGGAGAACTGGGATCGTGCTGGAAGCAACTGGGAGTAACTGGGAGTGACTGGGTGCATGCTGGAGGCAACTGGCATGAACTGGGAGTGACTGGGATCACACTGATGGGAACTGGGACCATCCTGGGGCAAGTGGAAGTCACTGGGTGTCAGGGGTTTCTGTGGGTGAGTTTTGGTAGCAGGGGGGCTACAGGGGTGGCTTCTGTTGGAAGCTGCCAGAAGCTTCCCCTGCCCCGTGGAGTCAATGCCAGCTGCTCCAGGACGGACTTGCTGCCGCTGGCCAAGGCCGAGCCCATCAGGAGCAACAGGAACAGCTCTGGGACAACAGATTTAGGGCCAGAAAGAATTGCAGCCAGGGAAGAGCAGAGTGGGAACGTGGGAACAGCACTGCAGACCCCAAGGGGGGTGCAGAAGGAGGGGCAGGAGGTGCTCCAGGCCCTGCAGCCCCTGGGGGAGCATCGGGTGCAGAGACCCCCTGCAGCCCCTGGAGGCTCCCACGCTGGAGCAGGGGGATGCAGAAGGAGGCTGTGACCCCGGGGCAGGCCCAGGATGGAGCAGGTCCTGGCAGGGACCTGCAGCCCGTGCAGAGGGAAGCCCAGGCTGGAGCAGGTTTTTCCCAGGCAGGACTCGTGGCCCCTGTGGGGACCCACGCCGGGTCAGCTCATCCCTGAAGGACTGACCCCATGGAGGAGGGACCCACGGGACAGCAGGGTGGGAAGAGCTGCTGCCCGAGGGATGGACTCACTGCAGAGGTCCATCCAGGACTGTCTCCTGTGGGAGGGACCCCACGGGAGAAGGGAAGGATCCAACTCCTCTCCTTGAGCAGTGACAGAAACAACAACTGACTGTAACCCCCATTCCTGTCCCCTGCACCGCTGGGGGAGGAGGGAGAGCTGAGAAGGAAGGAGGGGTGGGGGGAAGGTGTTTTTATTTCTCCTTCTTTGGCTTTTATCCTGTCAGTAATAAATTTTAGTACTATCCCTATTTTGAGTCTGGTTTACCTGTTAGGAAGCAACTTTCTCCCCACCCTTATGTCTACTCAGGAATCCTCAGCTGGTTCTTTTTTCTCTCCTCTGTGGAGTTGCAGAGGGAGGGGAGGTAGCAGCTTTTAGTGGGTGTTTGAAATCCAGCCAGGGTCAACCCACTGAACCAACCCATGTGCTTGAGGCCCTTTTGTGATGTCACAACCTACCCTCTCCATTCCAGAATAGCCCTTGGCAACCAAAGAACCAACAACCCACCAGGTCAGAATGCAGCCCCACCCATGTGCCCCTCTATGATGTCAAAGCCCATCATTCTGGAATAGCCCCTGGAAACCAAAGAACCAACACCCCACAACCCCACAGTGCAGCCCCACCCATCTGCCATGGGACTCTTTGTGAAGTCACGGCCTTTCCCCCAGGAAAGAAAGCCTGTAACCTTTGGGTTTCAGGTGCAGTTGGTGGGCCACCCTGGGCACTCCATGGGCAGCAAGAGCTTTCTGTCCTGCCACTTTTGTCTGGCAGGAATCTTTGTCCAGATTCAAATTTGGCAGTCGGACTGACAATTCCAGCACGGGGCTCCTGCAAGCGAACGACAGCCCTGCCCTCCAGGAAAGAAACCCCTTCCCTCGGTCTCTTTTCCTCTTCCTTCAAATACAACCTGCAGAGCAGCTTTCTGCCATCTCTTCTCTGGGGAGTTGTGAAGATAGACCCGCTCCCATGTTTAACACCTCAGGCAAAACCACCCTGTTAACAGCTTTCCCAACCTTCCTCAACCTTTCCCAAAGCCGAGATGTGGAAAGAACAAGTGCCCTTGTCCCTGGTTGTGCTGCTGTGCTGGGAGTCTCTTCCCTCCAGCTCTGCACACAGGCACTGCCCCTGCAGCTCCAGAGAAGGGCTGAAGAAGCATCTTCAACACAGAACTCAGGGCAGGTGTATCAGGGATTGTTGATATTTTTGGTCTGTGTTTGACCCAGCCACCTGCAAAAGTTTTGTTCTTTGCCTGCCAAGTTCACTGATAAACGGGAGCTTTGTCCTTGGAGAGAGAATTTCTTGTGTAAACTGTTTGAATTGGTGTTCTGTGATCGGCTCGTGTTCTGTAAAGGACATCTGAAGGAGAAACTGAGAGGAGAAGATGAAGTAAAGCCCCCAGACCCAAATAGATCAGAGCCCTTGAGTGAAACAGCGCAAGTGCGAGGGGAATCCCCACGTTCTCCCGCATGGCTGAAGGGGGGCACTCACAGAACGG